CCTATGTAATCCCTACAGACCCTCGTGGGATCCCTATGGAATCCCTACAGACCCTCATGTGACCTCTATGGAATACATACAGACCCGAATGAGATCCAGATGGAATCCCTACAGACCCAAATGTGATCCCTACGGAATCCCTACAGGCCCTCATGGGATCTCTATGGAATCCCTACAGACCCTCATGGGATCCCTATGGGAACCCTACAGACCCTCATGGGATCCCGCTGAATCCCTACCGACCGAAATGGGATCCCCCCAATGGGATCCCGATGAAATCCCTACAGACCCTCATGGGATCCCGATGGATTCCCTACCGACCCTCATGGGATCCCTATGGTAACCCCTACAGACCCGAATGAGATTCAGATGGAATCCCTACCGACCCTCATGGGATCCGCATGGTAACCCCTACGAACCCCAATGAGATCCAGATGGAACCCCTGGAGACCCTCATGGGATCCCTGTGGAATCCCTACCAACACAAATGGGACCCTTATTGAACCCCAAAAAAAACCTCAGGGGACCCCTATGGATTCCGTGCGGAAACTCATGGGGCCCCCTTTTTCTATGAAATCCCATACAGACCCGATTGGCCCGTTTGGGGCCCCGTTGTTCTGTAGTTCGTTGTCCCCCCCCCCAACTGCGGGCCCCTGCAGCTGGCCTCATCAACAACAACAACAACAGCAACAACAACAACAACAACAAAAAAAAAAAAAAAAAAAAAAAAAAAAAAAAAAAAAGCAACAACAACAACAACAACAACAACAACCACAACAACAACAACAACAACAACAACAACAACAACAACAACAACAACAACAGCAACAACAACAACAGCAACAGCAACAGCAACAGCAACAACAACAACAACAACAACCAAACAGCAACAGCAACAGCAACAGCGACGACGACGACAACGACAACATCGACAACAACAACAACAACAACAACAACAACAACAACAACAACAACAACAACAAGCACAACACCAACAACAACAACAACCGCAAAAGCAGCAGAGGCAGCAGCAACAACAACGATAACAACAACAACGACTACAACAACGACAACAACAACAATCATGTGTTCTGATTGTTCGTTCTTACTGGCACGCGTCTTACATTCCGTATACCCCAACCCTCGATACCCGCCCACTTCGTCTTCGATTGCACTCCTTTTCGGGGGGAATCTCTTCCTTGTCGGCCAATGACTGAAGTGCGAAGAAGTCTCGAGCGAGAGGGCGTTCCTGAGCTCGGGGGCCTCTCTGGCCAGGGGCTCTCGGAATACCTATGAAGAAATATCCAACGGGAACCCTTGTCGCCGTGTCCGGGCCTCCACCAACTTGCCTGATTTACCAGAACGTCTCGAGCGAGAGCGCCGTTCCTGAATTCGGAGGGTTTCTTGGCCAGGGGCTCTCGGAGTGAATCGTGAAGAGGTATCGAGCAGGAGCCCTTGTCGTCGTGGCTGGGCCTCCGCCAACTTGATTGAATTGCGAAGAAGTCTCGAGCGAGAGCGCCGCTCCTGAGTTCGGGGGCCTCTCTGGCCAGGGAAACTCGGGGAAAATTGCGAAAGTATCGAGCGGGAGCCGTTGTCGTCGTAGCTGGGCCTCAAAGGGCCTACATCTAGGCTCAAGCCAACGCTCAAGCGGGAGCCTCGCTTTCAGAGGAAAAAAATGCAGCCGGCGTCGAGGCGAGAGCGCGCGGAACCGTTTCCAGAGATCAGCAACAATGATCATTTAGAAAAAAATAGTCAAAAGCAGCACCAACAACAACAATCATTCCAAGACTGATCATTCCTATTTGATCACGTGCCAACCAATACGTATATCCCAAAGCCTCGGTACCCGCCCTCGTCGTCTTCGATCGTGACCCATTGGGGGCATATCTTCCTTACCTGCCACGCGCATTTAGTGCAGCCCCTAAAACAAGGGAAGAGAAGACGGGTGGAAGGGGAAGGAATAAGAACGGATCGCGAGAGAAACTAGCAGGAGAGGGGGAGAGGAACAGAAAATAAGCCTGGCGAAGGACCCAACTATATGCAGTTGTGGAAACCGTCGCTGTTATTATCGCCTTCGGTGGATTTCCTTATGGTGTATCCCGAAATGGGGTGGCGCCGCCATGCGAACTGCGCCACTGGGACCTTGGATGGAACTCCCTGCGCCACTGGGACCTTAAGTGGAACTCCCTATGGGGCCACGGAGCGTGTGAGAGGTGTGCCAAAATGGGGCGGCGCCGCCTGCGGACTGCGCCAGTGGGACCTTAGGTGGAACCCCCTCGGAGGCCACGAAACGTGTGAGGGGTGTGCCTAAATGGGGCGGCGCCGTCATGTGGACTGCGCCAGTGGGACCTTAGGTGGAGCTCCCTGTGGGACCACGAAACGTGCGAAGGGTGTGCCAGACTGGGGCGGCGCCGCCATGCGGACTGCGCGGAGCTCCCTATGGGGGGCCACGAAACGTGTGAAAGGTGCGCCAGAATGGGGCGGCGCCGCCATGCGGACTGCGCCACTGGGACCTTAGGTGGAGCTCCCTCGGGGGCCGCGAAACGTGTGAGGGTGCTCCAATATCGGGCGGCGCCGCCATGCGGACTGCGCCTCGGGGACTCTAGGTGGAGCTCCCTATGAGGCCGCGAAACGTGTGAAGGGTGTCGGATTGCGCCCCTGGGACCTCAAGTGGAACTCCCTATGATGCCACGAAGCGTGTGAGGGGTGTACCAAAACGGGGCGGCACCGCCGTGCGGACTGCGCCACTGGGACCTTAGATGTAGCTCCCTGCGCCACTGGGACCCAAGGTGGAGCTCCAGATGGGGCCACGAAACGTGCGAGGGTGTGCCATTTGTTCGATCGTTCTGCCGCACTTGAGATCCGCTGCCCCTCCGGGGGGCTATCCGACCGCACGCGCGCGACAAAGCAGCCGACAGCAGTGCAATAAATAAGGCGAAAACCTACAGCAACCCCGGACTCGGGCAACGGGGGGAGGGGAAGGAGGGAGGAAGCGGAGGAACGGCGAGGGGGAGAGGAAAAGAGCTGTGTGGACATCCCCGTTTGGCCTCGTCGGCCGAATAGCTACAATCACACACAGTGACCGTAAGAAAGGAGGAGGAAGAGAGGAGGAGGGAGTATTAGAGGGTTGTGACTGCACCTCCCGCTGATCCGAACGACCAGTCATATAAACGGGCATCACGCAACCCCAGTCAAAGAATGAGCCGCATCAGAGCGCAGTGCATGGCAGAAGGCTGGAATGTACCCCGAATTCTAGTCATGAGACGCGAAGGGGGGAATCAAATGTTGGGTGCACGCACTCGCCAACTATATAATTTGAAACTGGAGGCGGGCACTGGGGCGCCCGGCAAACGCGACGCTGCTCCGCAGCGGCTCATAAGGGCAAGCCTGGGCGGCGAAAACGACCCAGGGTCGGCCAGCAGCGGCCGCAGGCACCACCGCGCAATGCCCGTGCAGACAGTAGCATCGAAGCTACCAATTTGGGGAGGGAGGGGGAGGGAGGAGAGAGAAGGAACCTAGCAAGGCGGAGTTGGTGGAACTGCCGTGCACGCGATCTATCGGCCACCCGGCCGGGACAAAGCCGAGCGACCCTCCGCACAGCGCATCTCCGGATGTGCGCCTGACAAATGCGGTCGCTGCCGAAAACGCGACCCCCCCAGAGGGGCCACAATCCCAAGAAGGCAGGGGACCGCCCCCCGACGACGACGACGACGACGACGACGACGACGACAACGAAGACGACGCCGACGCCGCCGACGACGACGACGACGACGACGACGGGAGAGAAGCGGCCCCCTCCCCCCCAAAGCGTGGGGCCCCCAGGGGAGGCGGTTGGCGGACAAAACGTGCCTCCCCCGGAATTCAGACTTCAAGATCCCGGTGGAAATCTCAAAGCGAACTCAAAGCGAAAAGGTATTATGCCCTAGCGCCTTACTTTGCTCTGGGGCAGCTGATATGGCAACTGACGCGGCGGCAACGATTGTGATATTGTCCCGGCCGCGTGGCCGATAGGACGGCTTAATCGCTACCGAAAAGACCGTACAGGCTATGTGTGGCAATCTGAACGGTCGCCAGCCGCGGCGGCCGCGCGTGTGAGGGTGTGCCAAAATGGGGCGGCGCCGCCATGCTGACTGTGCCCCTGCGACCTTAGGTGGAGCTCCTCCCTGTGGGGCCACGAAACGTGTGAGGGGTGTGCCAGAATGGGGCGGCGCCGCCATGCGGACTGCACCAATGGGACCTTAGGTGGAACCCCGCCATATGGCGCCACGAAGCGTGGAACCCCGCCACATGGCACCACGGCCATGTTGGACCACAAGAGGGCGGTTGTAAGACCGCACCGTGGATGCTGCGCAGGTATGCCAGGGGCCGTCCGTGACTACGCAACCCCGATATATCATATGCTAGAACCACGCGCACGCATCGCGCGCGCTTCGGTTCCAGCTTGGAGACATATGTCGCACCTGGTTAAATGTCTCAGGAACACTGAGCTGAAAGGAGGATGAAAATTGAGGCGGATGTGAGAGGAAAAGGGTGGTGGAGCATGAGGGCCGATGAGGAAAGTGCACGAGGAAGCCAGAGGGTGCTCCAGAATAAAGAGGTGATAGGAGAAGGATAACACAAGATTGAAGAGGACAGGGCAAGAGTTTGAGGATAGAGGGAGGGGAACAAGAGGAACAGGAGGACGAAGTGCACAAGAAACAAGGAGAGGAAGAGAGGACGGCAGAAGAAGGGAGGACGGAAAAAGGAGGTGGGAGGCACGGGAAGCAGCGAGGGAGAAGCAGGGAAAGGAAAGGAATTTGGCTCAAGCCTTTTGGCTCAAGAGCGATCAAGAGCGATCTTCCCGCAACCAATCCCCACACTGTACTATCCCATATGTTATTGCTTCTTTCTCATCCAGTTTTCGTCGCTCAGTCATGGCATCCATCGGAAATATGACTCAGAAGGCCTCCTTTGCCAAGCTCAACTCTGACATGGATACGAGATTGGCACCACTCCAGCAGGACATTGCGAAGGTCAAGACCACGGTGCAGAAGCACTCGGAGAAGATCGTCGCGTTGGGGGCCCAGTGCGCCGAAGCCATGCGCATCGCGACTGGTACTGACCACAAGCTGAACGCAAAAGCTGAGGCCAAGGCGACTTGTTCATCAGCAAAGGCGCCATCAGACAAGGTCATTCCGAACTTCATCTTGTTACGGAACTTTGCCGACTGGGGAACATGTAAACAGACCGGCATTGATCGCACCCGGGCAGAGCACCTCATCACCGTGATAGTCGCCAAGGTGCCGGCCACGACGAAGGAGAATATGTCCAAGGACCAGATGAAGGTTGTTGGCGGTGGCAAGTCGGACACCATCCATCCTCCGGTGCGCCCTGGCTACGCGGACGAAGTGCAAGGCGACATTTCGGCTGCGTTGGATAGCCTGGCTTATACCTACAACGGGCGCTCCATTTGGGTACAGGTGGAACGCGAGCCATGGATCCAGAAGCGCTATTCTGCTTTCGGCCGTGTCCGAGCGTTTCTCCATCACGCAATCGAGCAGGTGATCGATGGGGAGCGGGACACTTCCTTCCAGTGCACCTGGATGCCCAACTTCGTCATCATGGCGATCCGGGGGGGCGACGAAGCAGGCTATATCGACAACAACGCCGAGGTCCACTTCAGCGAAAACTGGGCGCAAGCGACTTTCGCGACCACAGCTGAAGAGCTCAAGGCTCGTCTACGGGTGTTCCGCTCGAGGCGGCGCGGATGATCGCAGCCGACGAGCACCAACAGGCTCACAATTTTGTATTGGAACGCCCGCCGCCAGGGGAAAGGCACAGCGGGCAGATTGGGGAAGGTACTACTACATCTCGGTGTAGATTTCGCTGTTCTTCAAGACGTTCCACGTTATGGTGAGCTTCAGGGTAGGGGGGTATTCGGGGTATGTGGTCTACAGGAGCGTGGGAAGTGACTGCAGTATATTGGTAGGTATGCATGTTTTACCTACTGTTAGGAACTGCTGCTTCGGGGGCTACTGGGGCGCCATTGTCATCAATGCCGCTATCATTCTTACTTCGCATACACTCGATCACAATTCACAACGAGAACGAAGGTCGTGCCCAGAAGGGTTCCGAAGACATGTCCACATGTCTTCGCGACACGTTCTCATAATATCCGGATCGTACGTTTCACATGTTCCGTGGTTCAGACACCAACATGCAACTTCCATCGTATTTCGAAGATCTGGCTGGTAACGTCGTGCTTCGTCCTCAGCGCCGATGCGACGTACGACGGTCTGTGCCTATTCTTGCATCCATGCGAGGCCACAGGCTGCGGGCGTTAAATACATTTTGCGATTTCCCTCATTGGACATGGGGCCGATGACGACGAACACGGAATTCCCAGATCGATCACATGTTCTGCAGTCCTGGGGTGGAGGGCCATACGGCACCAAGTCCGCAACCCAGCATAGTGTTAGACAAATCAGACAATTTTCCTCTACTAGCGTCCTTGGTGTTCTCTGAAGCAACCAGTGCATCCGGGGGCCACACTCGTGTTGAATCGATGAAACGATGAGATCTTGAGGGCGAGACGACATTGGTTGAATTGCATCGGCAGGTCCACGCACTTCTTCTTCAATGCCCAAACTTACAAGAATGCGAACAGCATCTTAATCATATTTGCTATTCCGTATCCTTTTCTACAACGACCAGCCGACGGAGACAAGAGGCCTCGACTCATAGCAAAGCTGTGAGAGATGTACGTCGCGATGTGGCTTCCCACACCGGTGACGATAGACGAGAACTTGTGAGGCGTACGAGGCAACTAGGGAGGACGGCACGTTTAGCATCAACGTCTCGGATGTTTTTGAAGATACACCAGACGCCGCGCTCACGGGCCAAATGGCGCCGCTCTCGGCACGTGCTGCAACAAAAGACATCACCGACAGGGAGCAAATCCGTGAAGCAGCCGCAGCTTTCGAGAGGGAGCGCTTTCATGACCCTTCCAAAGGTCCTGCGGTACAAGCATCTCGCTCGCAGCATGTATTTTCGGCTGTCGATACCGCTGTACACCACCTGTCTGGCCCCGCCGCCCCGGCCAAACACCAGGGAAGGGGGGGTGAAACGCCGAGCGCGGGCAAAGACGCCTGACGATTAGGGAGATAACCTGGAAGGGAGAAAAAGGGAAGGAGGAGGGGAGAAAAACCGAAGGCGGAGGAAGCGGGCGCGCGGCCGTGGGACCTGAGCCGCCGACCCCCACCGTTAGGCGGGCGCGCGCCCGCATGGGGAGGCAAGGAGCGGGAGAAAAGAAGGAAGGGGGGGGAAAGGGAGGGAAGAACACACACCGACCAGAAAAAAAATGGCCGGGCAGGAGGGGCAGCTAACAAAAACTCTGGCGCGGGCGAGGCGCCCATTCGGGGGAGATCTTTTGCAGGTCCCTGGCGGGGGGCGCTATCCCGCCAGGGCACCTCGGACAGGGCACCGCGCCGCAAAGCATCACGACTCCGAGCCTCTGGAAAGACGAGGGAGGTAGGGGGGGACAGAAGAGGAAGGAGGCGGAAAAATGGAGGAGGGGGAGGAGGAAGGCTAGGCGTCGTCGTCGCCCAGAGCCGCCAGCAGGCTGAGAGCAGCGGACAGCGCGCCCCCATAGTCAGGGGTCTCTGTGCCTACGCAGCACAGCCCGCGCCGTGGTTCTGCGAATGGCCATGGAGAGCCGCTGGAAGAGGCGAGCCGCCCCGGCGCCCGCCACTTCTCCGAGGCGTCCGTCGCTGGAACGAGCCAGGCGGCGGAGGGCGTCTGCGACCATGGGACCCCATGCGCCCGACGGTTCCGCCACCAGGGGGACGAACATTATCCGGCTGGGGAAAGCGAGACTTTTGACGGTCGACCTTGCCCGCCGTTGACATAATTTCGAATCTTGCAATACCGGGCGGCCCTGGGACGATCAAAGGCGTCTGGAGTGGACGGATTGCAAGCTGAGGTTTACAAGTGTCTTTATTTCGTATATTGTTTGTACTATTGGTCTCATTTCCAGATGGGACATACTGGTGCTTCCCACGAGTGCCCCCTGGCATAGAGGGTTTTAGAATATGTAGGCATTCCTAAGGCGGACGCGCACGGAACATTCGAGTTTGAGAAGAGCATCAGATGGATAGGTAGATCGGCTTCGAGTCAGAAGTGGTATCCACACGCAGTACGCGCATAACTTCGAGTACGACTTCGCCCTACCAGCGTTGCCACTTTCGGGTTCAAGCCCAGCCGTAGGACTACTGACGTCACAGGGGTCATAACGTGAAATCTTACATAATGCATGCAGGTTCCAAGGTGAACGCGCGAACTTTGTATATTTGGAAACCCGGCTCGCTTTTGATAATCTCGGGCATGAGGTCTTAAAGCGAGCTATGATGTGGAGGGGCATACATCCGATGCTCATGCACCATGTTTTCCGAGAGTTGTACAACATCATGGCTTACACGCGGTTGGACGGATGTGAGACCACCGATCAGTTTCCAGTCTCGGGGGGGGAGGGGGGGGGCAAACAGGGGGGCATCGACACGCCAGATCTGTTCAACATGGTGGTGGAGTACCTGTTGCACGACGTCGTGACCTCTTGGAATCGCCGTGGTTTGGGAACGAATCTAACACATGGTGCACGCGGCTGGTGGCTTCAATTGTGAAGGATCTCAACAACATGATCGCGGAACTGACAGATGGCATTCATTCTGGAGGTGTCCAGTGGAAGGAGTCGTCGCTGCAAGTGATGGCTGGCGGGGATGCGAACCATACCGATATTGCAAACCTCCGATGTTCACGACCAGATCGGGAGTACAACATTGTTGCTGTCGACTGCATGTTGGTGCTTGGGGAGATGATTGACAACCGCGGCGGCACGGCGACGAGCATAGAGTACAGGTTATCGAAGACAGAAGGTCATTTTTGGGCAAATTTTGAAATCTTGTGCGCTCTGGCTTCGGAGGCGAAGAAACTTGATGCATGATGTCAGGGGCCGCAGGCTTCAACATTGCACGGCGCGGGCACGTGGCACCTCACCGGGGAATTATTGCACAAGCTTTGGTCCCGGGAGCTCAAATGGTTACCCCAAGTCTTTCGTTTACGTTGCCGTCCGGATGAGGTTTTGCACGACTACGCGCAGCGCACTGCGTTCAGAATCAAGCTTGGATGGCGCGTGCGGGCCGCAGACCGATCCACGATGCGACACTTACGGCTGTTTTTCTGGAAGCGCATCGCGAGAAGATCTCGTTTACACCGGCAGGCGTGCCTCTCCTCATGGCCTCAGCCAGGCTCGCCAAAATAATGGCCGAATCGTCTGGGAGACTATCAAATCCGGCCCTGCCCAGCGTCGACGCGTCAAAGGATTGCTTGAGAGAGAAGGTGGCGGAGGGCGGCTTGGGAAGGCCCGATCGTCAGCTGCATGGTCATTTTCTGGCGTCGGCAGCGGGACAACGCGACGCCGCACCAGCGGCGCCAGCAGGTGCAGGACTTCGTGATTACGAGCTGGTGGCATTTTCCGAGGTGCTTCGAGGAGACTCTGGTTGGGCCGGTGACAAAACGGCTGCGCACGGCACCAGGCGAGAAGAAAGACACGCTCATGTTTCGACACGCAGAGCCAGAGGCAGATGAGCTCATGGAAACTGTGGCCGCAAAAGTCTCTTGGGATGCCTCTGCGAAGCGGTTCCTGTACGCCACGGATTCGCAGCTCTTACATCAAGTGGTATGTGGTCATGCGCTTTTGTACGAATCCAAATACGAGCCCCTCTGCACGCGGATCCTCAACAAGATTGTTGGTCACATGTCTGACGGCTGGCGTCCACCGCGATTTCACGAAGACCCCGTGCAGTGGTGGAGGCGCTGCCAAGAAGGTCGCGGACGGGTTGGCCGAGTACACCATGGATCGGCAGTGTAGGTGGCGCGAAATCTTCGGCATCACACTGGGCATGATGAAGTGCAACATCGAGGTGCAGACTAACGGTGGCATGCGCGAAAATGACTGCGCCGCTGCCGCGTGGATCATCGGTTTGTGGGGCAGCGTGGACGGAAAGGACGTGTTCGAACCGTACATCATACATAGGACTTTCTTGGAGTTACCTTGTACGGCATTCGGGACAGAGGTAATAGCCTTGGACGAGGCATCTTCTGAGGTAGCCAGGCTGCTCTCTTAAGAAGAAGAAGAAGAATAATCCGCCGGCCCCCTTGCGGGCCACCAGGCTGTAGGCTCAGGGTTTGTTCCCTGCACCAGTTCAAGTTTCCAGTTTCCACTGTTACAGTTCTGCTTCTTGTTGCTGACTGTTCCTTGTTGTAGATCGCGCGAGAAGGGGAGCCGAAAACCGCCCTGCTTACTCCTGGGAGGGGTCTTAGAATTTCTGGGAGACTCAAAGTTGACACCACTCACGCAGATCGGCGGGGTCAGGGTCCCAAAACACATGGGATTTGCCACAGTTCTAAAATTCGGTGGCATCTCTCACACAGATCGGCGGGGTAAGCGTCGAAAAACCAATGAGTTTTGCCACATTTCTGATATTCGGCGACACCTCTCACGCAGATAAGCAGGGTCAGGGTCTAAGAACATGGGATCGGCCACATTTCTGACATTCGGCGGCGCCCGTCACACAGATCGGCGGCGTCACAGGGTCCACAAACATATGGGATTTGCTACATTTCTGGAAATTCGGCGGCACCCCTCACATAGATCCGCCGGATCAGAGTCGAAAAA